GGTGGTGTGATCTCAGATCACTGCAACCTCAGCCTCCCAGGTTCAAGTGATTTTCTGCCCCAGCCTCCTGAGTAGCTGGGACTATTGGAATGCACCACCATGCCTGACTAATTTTTGTATTTTTGGTAGAGACAGGGTTTCACCATGTAGACCAGGCTGGTCTCGAACTCCTGACCTCATAATCCACCCTCCTTGGCCTCCCAAAGTGCTGGGATTACAGGTGTGAGCCATAGGTTGACCATTTTAAGAGTAAAGTATTTTCACCAGCAAAGCAATGAACAGAATGTAAAAATGCAAGTTTCACACATTCTTTCAATGCAACAAAGAAAAAATCTAGTATTTTTAAATATTAAAAAATTGGATTTGGATTAGCCTCCTAATCTGTAATCAAACTACGACTGACATTACAACTTCAGGAGTATCTAGATTGAGTTAAGTAAAAACAATCTGGGAATAAAGAATAATTTCATTTTAAACTCTACTTCTTACCTACATTTGGACAAACACTGTCATGAGGAATTATCTTCCAAAACTAATCTACTTCAACTTGGTGACTCCAATAATCTCTCTGGTCTTCCTATGTTGTCTTAGATTGAGTAATGTATTCTTTTAATTGGTTAGTTGGTTTGCTCATTCCCCTAATGCAAAAAAGTAGAGTTGTCTTTCTGGTTTGTAATATTTTTCAACTTGTGTATGTTGAGGTGATACTCTTGCCTAGAGATGCAGAATCCCCAATACATCTGGGCTTCTCTGGTCTCTTTAAGTGATTGGCTAAAAATCTAGAAGCAACTGAAAGAGTCAGTAGTACTAAATTTAGGGCTACTGCCAAATTGGATTATAGTCCTAATTATAACAAATTGTTATTATTTATTGGACAATCAGTAACTATACTAACGTATAATTTTGTTTAGTATAAATAATGCAGCTCTTAAAGATTACTAAAAAGAATGTAAAACATTAAAAGAATTTTAGAGTAAATAAATTTTATGACTAAAGAAAACTGAAATATTAAGGGTTAGTGTGCAAAGTTTTGCCTCATGTAATGCGTCCATATAGTAGTAATAACAGTAACAATGATAATAACTACAGTAATAGGTAGCATATATTGCACACTATGCACCAGGTATGGTGCTAAAAGCTTTATACACATTTTCTCATAAGATTCTCAAAACAACACGATAAGGTAGATAATATCTCTTTTGCTAAATGCAGAAACAAAGCAAAGTTAAGTGACTTGCCCAATTACCCACTTCTGTGCAGTGTACATTCTGGTCCTTGGAGAATTATGATAAATAAATAGCAATGTTTATAAACAAGTAATTAAAAAAACACAGCATTACAAAGGCTTTTCCAAATAATAATTAGTCTTTCTTTCTTCATGGTGGTAGACAACTTCAGAAGGGTTGGGTAGCTACAGTTCTCTGCTGGGCTAAAAGAAAACTGATTGCTTTTATTCAGCTTTATTATTATTATTATTATTATTATTTTAAAAACCTTTTAAAATTTGCTACCATTTTTTCTTCTTTCTCTCTTTCTTCCTGGGTGACAATATTTTCCCTTTCCTAGGTGATCAGTTTTCTTCTCAGCCACCATCAAATTACAACTATTTTTGGTATACTACCAAAGTTCTTATATTTAACGAATTGTAGTGATGTTTCAAAATGGTGTGCTCATCACACATTGAGATCGTACCTTCAAGGAGTTCTTCATTAGATGTTTCACCTCTCAAGAGGATTTTCATTTTTAAGAAAAGCCCGGTAGAATTTAAATGTTCCTATTTTAAACAAAGAAATCACAATGATATTAAAATTGTGAAATGTAAAAGACAATTTTCAAGTAATTGCTAGCTTTATTAAACCACCTTGGGATAACTCATAATCAAAGGAAATCAAAATTACAAAAGATTATGTCATAACATCCATTCTATCCCTGAGGATACTTCCCAATAATTTATTCAATCTAAATGAAATAATATATGGAAAAGAACATGTAAATATTTCCAATGAGTGACAAACATTTAATGACAAAATCAATACTTAAACTGTATGAACCTCAGGCAATGTTCTTTGTAAGCAAAACAACAAAGCAGTTAATTTTATTTTCTTTTGAGATTGTTTAAACCACCCAGTCTATAGTATTTTGTTGTAACAGCTCAACCTAGCCAACACAATTTAGTTTTGTCTACATTTGAACTTCACTTAAACAGAGTCATAATGCATATAAGTTCTTCTGTGACTTCTTAGATATATTCTTCTGTGACTTCGATTCAAATCATGTTTTTTCAGATTCATCCATATTGATACATGAAATTTATTTGTTTTTGTTACTATATAGCATGGTTCACAAAAGGTGGTCCCTGAATCAGCACCATCTGGGAACTTGTTAGAAATGCAAGCCTCATCCAAAACCAACTAAAGGAGAAACTCTGGGAGTACTGCCTAGCAAATTATGTGTGGCATGTGTGTAAGAAAATGTGTAAAATAATTATCATTTATTCACATTATAGAAAGTTTCCAATTCAACATGAATTCTATTATCTGTTTAGTAAGGTAATAAATGAGCAAACTGTGTTTAACAAACACTCCAGGTAATACTTACACAAGCTAAAGTTTGAGAACAACTATTGTATAGTATTCTGTTATATGACTAAATCACAATTTATTTGCACATTATATTTTGGACATTTGAGCTGTTTTCAACCCAATTGCTATTATGAACAATCCTGCAATCTGCATTCTGTACACCTCTCCTTGTATACAAATGCTAGAGCTTCTCTAAAATATATACCTAGGAGTGAAGTTGCTGGGTGGTTGGGTATGATCAAATTCTACTTTATCAAATAACGTCAAATTTGTTTTCAAAGTGGTTGTACAATTCTCAAAAAAACTAGGAGTGAAGGGAGCTTCCTCAACCTGACAAAAAGGGCGTCTATGCTAAACCCATAGCTAACACCATAATTAATGGCAAAATACTGAAAGCTCGCTTTCTAAGATTAGAAAAAGAAATTGCTCTTGCCAATTCTATTTAACATAGTAATGGATGTTCTTGCTAGAATAATTAGAAAAGAAAAAGAGACAAAAGGCATGCAGATTGGAAAGCAAGAAGTAAAACTATCTTTATTTACAGAAAATACGATTTTTTTTTTTTAGACTAAGTTTGGCTCTTGTTGCCCAGGCTGGAGTGCAGTGACACAATCTTGGCTCACTGCAACCTCTCCCTTCTGGATTCCAGTGATTCTCCTGCCTCAGCCTCCCAAGTGCCTGGGATTACAGGCGTGCACTATTTGTTTCATGGAAATAAAATTTTTCTCAAAAATCTCTGGTGTTCAAAGAAGTATATTTGTTTTAATCTGTTCATACTGCTATAACAATATACCATAAACTAGATACTTCACAAACAACACATACTGATTTCTTACATTTCTGAAGGCTAGGAATTCCAACGTCAAGGTGCTCGGTGCCTTCTAATGTCCTCACATGATAAAAGGGGTGAACAAGCTCCTGTGGCCCTCTTTTATAAGGGCAGTAATACCATCCAAGAGGGATTTTCCCAATGACTTTATCATTTCCCAAAGTCCTCACCTCTTTTATTTTTACCTCCATTGTACACCAAAAAGTCCCCACCTCTTAATATCATCACTTTGAGGGTTAAGATTCCAACATAGGAATTTGAGGGGACACAAACATTCAGATTACAGCAATATTTTATTTTTCCTTTCTGTGCTATAGAAGAGATTACAACAATCTGTGAGAGTAAATGCTGAAGCAAATGTCTAAACTGGGTTTCAAAATGTGATCAAAACTTCAAAAAACACATTAACTTAGTATTCAAAAATAAGAGCCTCATACCTTGTTTGCTAGGTTTATAGCATTGAGAGCCTTATCATAATATTTGGTGTCATCCCAATCCAAATAATTGGTGGCTAATAACCGTAGAACTTTAGCCTGTAAAAAAAATTAGAAAAAAAGCAGATAGCTGATGGTTAAACTTCAATACAACAGCTGACTAGCAGTTCCACAGTGACAAGCATCTTCTCAAACATAGGTCATCTTTATGAAGTAGCATTTCCTTAAGCGACCCCATAGTCTTGGAATATGTCTCATCATTATGCTACCCATTCAAAATATTGTCTAAGAATTTTACAGTAATGGCTACATTCCTGGCTTATTTAAATTTAATATAATTGTGTTAATATAATTATTTTCTTAACAGTGTTTAACACAAGAATTTTATCATCCTTACTTGTAAAATAAGGAAACCGAGGCAGAGCACTATTTCATTTAATCAGCTTACCACCTTGTTATTATCATGGAACAACTCTAAGAACTGATAAGCTCCCCCAAACAACTTTTATGGAATAAATATGGCATTTCTTTTTTCTTTTTTTTTTCCCCATTTATTTATTTTATTGCATTTTAGGTTTTGGGGTACATGTGAAGAACATGCTAAATTGTTGCATAGGAACACACGTGGCAGTATGATTTGCTGCCTTCCTCCCCATCACCTACATCTGGCATTTCTCCCCTTGCTATTTCTCCCAGCTTCCCACCCCCCACCGTCCCTCCCCTATTTCCCCCCAACTGACCCCAGTGTGTAGTGCTCCCCTCCCTGTGTCCATGTGTTCTCATTGTTCAACACCCGCCTATGAATGAGAACATGTGGTGTTTGATCTTCTGCTCTTCTGTCAGTTTGCTGAGAATTATGGTTTCCAGGTTCATCCATGTCCCTACAAAGGACCCAAACTCATCGTTTTTGATGGCTGCATAATATTCCATGGTGTATATGTGCCACATTTTCCCTATCCAGTCTATCGTCGATGGGCATTTGGGTTGGTTCCAGGTCTTTGCTATTGTAAACAGTGCTGCAATGAACATTCGTGTACACGTGTCCTTATAGTAGAACGATTTGTAATCCTTTGGATATATACCCAGTAATGGGATTGCTGGGTCAAATGGAATTTCTATTTCTATGTCCTTGAGGAATCTCCACACTGTCTTCCACAATGGTTGAACTAATTTACACTCCCACCAACAGTGCAAAGAGGACACAAACAGATGGAGAAACATTCCATGTTCATGGTTAGGAAGAATCAATATCGTGAAAATGGCCATACTGCCCAAAGTAATTTACAGATTCAATGCTATCCCCATCAAGCTACCAATGACCTTCTTCGCAGAACTGGAAAAAACCACCTTAAACTTCATATGGAACCAAAAGAGCCCGCATAGCCAAGTCAATTCTAAGCAAAAAGAACAAAGCGGGGGGCATCACACTACCAGACTTCAAACTATATTAAAATATGGCATTTCTGAGAAATACTGTAGCTATTTCATAATAGTAAAAGGATCAAATCATCCAGAAGACACAGCAAAATGAATGAATCTCACAATGTATATTTTTAAAAAGCCAGCCATAAAACAGGACAACTGTATGATTCCATTTATACAAAGCTCAAGAACAGCCAAAAATACTCTAGAGTAATAAAAGTCAGAATAGTGGCTTTCTTTCCTTAGAAGTAAAGGTGGGTATTAACTAGAATGGGGCCAAGGGAACTTTTGGGGGTATTGGAAGTTTCTGTAATCTTGATCTGTATGGTGTAATATACAAAACTATATATTAAAACTCATCACTCTGTACACTTGAGACGTGCAGTTTACTGTATATAAATTACACCTCAAATAAATGATTGCTGGCATGAAATAAAAAATTACTGTATAGTGTTACTTCACGAAACTTACAATATGAATACTCCATTTGAATGAAGCCTGTATCCTATCTTCCATCCTTATTTCCTTCTTAGACATCTCCCATCTAGATCTCTTGCCTGGAATCATTTTCTTCCACCCTTTTAACTGTGTGGATCCCATCAACAAGGCCATCTCCTACCAAAAGCCTCCTTCAACTGCTCTAGCTAATCTTGATAATCCCCTTCTCTACATGCCTTTCTGCATATTTCGGGTCAGTACCACAAAGTTTATCATTATTTTCCCAAATTGTTTCACTTGCAGTAGCGTTTTTTAAATTCTATTTTTCTTCATTGAAGTGTAAAATACATATAGAAAAGTTCAAAAATCTCAAGAGCTCTATGCTCTTATGAATTCTATGCTCTATGAATTTTCACAAAGTAAACACATGTATGTTAACAATAGAAAAATCAAGAAACAGAACATTAACAGCAACAAGCTCACCTCATGCTTCTTTTCAGACTCTATTTCAAATAGGGGTAACCAATTCCCTGATGTCCAACACCATATATTCATTTTGACTGTTCTTGGCATTTATATTTATGGAATCATACAGTATGTACTGCTTTGTATCTTGCTTCATTTATTCAATATTATAGGTGAGAGCATCCAAATTGTTGCAATTATTGTAGTTAATTGAGTCCCATTGCTATATAACAAGTTACAATGTCACTATATATATAATTTATTTTTAATTGTAGTGAAATACACATAACATAAAATTTACCATCTTAAACCTCTTTTTAAATTTAAGGCAAGGTGCAGTGGCTCATGCCTGTAATTCTAGCACCTTGAGAGGCCGAGGTGGGAGGATCACTTAAGGCCAGGTGTTTGAGGCCAGCCCAGGCAACAAAGTGAGACTTCCATCTCTATAAAAAATTAAAAATTGGCTAGATGTGATGGGGTGAACCTGTAGTCCCAGCTACTCGGTAGGCTGAGGAGGGAGGGTTGCTTGAGCCCAGGAGTTTGAAGGTTACAGTGAGCTGATCACACCCACTGCCCTCCAGCCTGGGTGACAAGACCCTGTCTCAAAAAAATCTGTTTTGGAGATGGAGTCTTACTATGATTCCCAAATGGAAAGCAGTGGCTATTCACAGGCATGATCACAGCTCACTGCAGCCCCTAACTCCTGGGTTCATGCAATCCTCCTGGCTTAGCCTCCTGAATAGCTGGGACTAAAGGTGCACACCACCGCACCTGGCTCCATGACAATTTTAAACATTTTTAACATCCATCTCAAGAACTGTCTTATCTTGCAAAACTGAAACTCTACACCCATTAAATAATAGTTCCCAATTCTCCCATCACCCTACCCCGTAAAATCACCATTTTACTTTCTGTCTCTATGAATTTGACTACTCTATGTACCTCACTTAGTGGAACCATACATTATCCTTTTGTGAACGGCTTGTTTCACTTAGCATAATCTCCTCACAGTTAATCCATGTTGTAGCATGTGTCAGATTTCTTTCCTTTTAAAGCCAGGATAACATTTCATTGTATTCACTTGTACTAGTTTTATCCTTCAATCATAAGTTCCTTAAAGGCAGAAGCTACATTTTATGCCTCTCTTTTATTCCCCACATATTATGGTGGTAAATATATTAAAAGGCATTCAGCTACATTTTGATTAATATGCTGTAATAGTAAGAATCAAATGGATATTCAAAAAATTTCATTTTGCTATAGAATGTAGTAATTTTACAACACATTTATTTACAGAATCACATTTTGATTGATTACATATTAAGATTAATTTCCATATCCAGGCATGTTCTGTCTGGGTAGTTGGGGAAAAATCTGCAACTTCAAAATATGCAATAAGAAAAGTTAAAACTAGGCCAGGCATGGTAGCTGACTCCTGTAATCCCAGCACTTTCGGAGGCCAAGGTGGGCAGATTACCGGAGGTCAGGAGTTCCAGACCAGCCTGGCCAACATGGCAGAACCTCATCTCTGCTAAAAACACAAAAATTAGCCAGGTGTGGTGGCCCATGCCTGTAGTCCCAGGTACTTGGGAGGCTGAGGCACCAGAATCGCTTGAACCTGGGAGGCAGAGGCTGCAGTGATCATACCACTGCACTCCAGCCTGGGCAACAGAGCGAGACTCTGCCAAAAAAAATTTAAAAAAAAAGAAAGAGAAGTTAAAACTTACATAGTCAAACATTGTTCAAAGCACTCTACTTATATTAATTCATGAGTACATGCCTATGAGGTAGATTATATTATATAAATGTATAAAAACAAATGCACTGAGATGTTGAATGATGTGCCCAATAGCTAATTTACTCATACATGGGAGTATGCTATTGTAATTTTATAACAATAACATAAAGTAGGTTCTTCAACCTACTTCTACAATATTTAACATGATCCTTACCAGCGTTTCTGGATCAGTAGAATCCTTATCCATCTTCCCAATATCATAGCTTTGGCTGTCATTAAAAAGGAAAAAAATATATATACATATATATATATATATCCATTTCAAGTAATATATAATTTTTAAGATTATATATTACTAAGAAGACATAGTATAAGCATACTTTATTTCTACTTTTCCGTTTTACACTACAACAGATTATCATCCAATTAATACATGAAAATTAATGATATAAAGCAATACTTTCCAACTATACAAAAAAATTTCCTTAGGAGAGACCCAATAAATCAACACTACAATTATATTGATGCTGTTTTCCATTTGTGCGTATATATATGGCATTAAATATATATAATATACTGCATTAAATTATTATAATATATACTGCATTAAATGCTTTACAAGTGTATACAAGCTCTTACTTGGCCATTTAAAGTTAAAGAAATATAAATATGTATTTATTTATTAATTTTTTACTTAGTTATTTTTGAGATGGAGTCCCATTCTGTCACCCAGGCTGGAGTGCAGTGGTGCGATCTCGACTCACTGCAACCTCCATCTGCCAAGTTCCAGTGATTCTCCTGCCTCAGCCTCTCGAGTAGCTAGGATTACAGGCACCTGCCATCATGCCTGGCTAATTTTGTGTGTGTGTGTGTATTTTTAATGGGGTTTCACCATGTTGGCCAAGCTGGTCTCGAACTCCTGAGCTCAAGTGATCTGCCAGCCTCAGCATCCCAAAGTGTTGGATTATAGGCATGAACCACCATGCCGAGCTCCAAAGAAACATAAATATATTTTTAAAATAAAACAAATGCAGTTGTTTTCACAGAAACAAATGCTTTAGCAATATTCACTAAGTCTCAAACCACCCTTCTGAAGCACTATTAGTTCCATTTCGCAGCTGAACAAATCAACATAGAAATAAAATTATTTCTGATATTTCCTAGATTGGTATTGAAAATGAGAGTGAGGGGTTGGGGAGTAGAGAAATTTGATTTTCAGTTCTCTGCTTTAATTACCAAACCATATTATCTACGGGAAATTCCAATTACCACAAATAATGTATTAATATGAGTTTCAAGGTTTCAAAACCTAATACCTACAAAGCAAATCAAAAATCATTCACCACAAAATTGGTATTCCAGAGGAGTATGTCAATAAAATCTTGGTGAATTTAACTAACTTGAAGACAATACTTTGAAATATTCCTTTAAAATTAAAAAAAAACAACAACAACAACTCTAGGCCAGTCACAGTGGCTCACGCCTGTAATCCCAGCACTTTGGGAGGTGAAGGGAGTTGGATTACCCGGGGTCAGGAGTTCAATACCAGCTCGGCCAACATGGAGAAACCCCATCTCTATTAATGATACAAAAATTAGCCGGCATGGTGACACGTGCCTGTAATCCCAGCTACTTGGGAGACTGAGGCATGAGAATCGCTTGAGCCTGGGCCATGGAGGTTGCAGTAAGCCAAGATGGCACCACTGCACTCCAGTCTGGGTGACAGAGTGAAACTGTGTCTCAACAAATGAATAAAAATAAAAATGAACCATAACTGACCCATAACTATCAAACTGAGTTTTCAGATTACTAACAATGACATAACGCTGGCTTAGTCATTGTCAGCCCTATTTCACTGAGGTCTCCTTTAGTACATTAACCTTATACTTCCAGTTTTTAAAATAACCAATGAGGGTGGAACTTCTGCAATGGTGATATTAGACACTCTACCCATTGAAACAACCACTCATCTGGACAATTCATTAAAACAACCACTTAGTCTCTGAAAATTTAAATTGTCCTAAGGGCATATGGAAAATGGGAAAACATTTCTTCATGAAAATAGACTAAATCTCACTAAAACCAGTGAGAGTCCATGGCATTTGAGCTATAAAGTGCTCCCATCTATACTGGCTCCAAGTGATGGAAGCTACGCTAGATGGGTGCAGCCAAGAAGATAAGAATTCTTTTTCCCCACAGTTCCTAAAATCCTAGGCTATGGTTTCACCTGTGGAGAAGCAGGCTGCCAGACTATCTTGCCATTCCCAGGCTTGTGTCATGGAAGTGTTCTGGGCAAGCACGATTGAGAGGACTAGCTTTTCTTTGCCTACTCAGCTCTCACTCTTAGAGTAAGGATTCAACCCCAAATGTGACAGGTAAAGACTACTGAGATCCTGATCATCTTCACCCCAGCTGGTTCATCAGACAGAGGTTCCATGTCAAAAGGGCACACTAAGAAGACCAAGGGCTGCCATACCACCAGAATTTACTAATACGGTAGCAATAAAAGCATGCCATTCTCCCTGAACCCAGCTCTAGTCATGTGGCTCAGAGGTTCTGACAAGAAGCAAAGGCCAGCAGCAAAGAAGAATTCTGCATCTCTTCCTGAGGGGACCGATGTATTTAAAACAGAGCATGGAGAAGTTCATGTCTAAGGGCACTGCTGAAAACAATGGAGATCCTGGTAGTGAGCAATTAAGAGGGAGTTGATAGCTCCATGATAATAGTCAGCAGACCAACCAGAAGGTTACCAAAGAGAACCAGGGTAACAGCCAAGAAGAAAACCCCTGGGGTCACACTTATCTCTGGGGGTCCAGAAGACTGTGCACATGTGCCATTCTGCACCCACTCAGGCACAATCAGAGAAAGTATTGAGGCAGACTAAAAAGCATTACCCAAGGCATACACAGATCTATCAGGAAAGAACCTTGAGCCTCACTGGCTCCAGGGCCTTAAGCAGAACCTCTGATGAAACACCAACTGAAAATTAAACTAAGATCCAGGGAAGCCAGCTTAAAAATCAAATCGGCCTTATACCGAGGGATCTGAGAGACTGTGCACATGGCCAAGACTATGCTTTTTTGGGCATGAGCAGAGAAAGAGTATACAAGCTATTAGTCCCTGGCTGAATGCAAGGCAAAACCACAAACTCGCTGAACTATAAAAACAGTCTTTAAACAAACACACATACCACAGGAAAGGATGAAAAATCTAATTGCCTAAGTGAGCTTAAGCACAACTTTGGGCCAGTAAGTGAACTTGGATGCAGGGGTGACTCCATAAGAAGCCATGAATAGATAAAAACAAGGGGAAAAATTCCAAGCAAGAATGTTAGAGGCCACACAGTGTGGGGAAAATAAATTCCACCAAATTAGTCCAGCGAAGTGAAAAATAAATGACTCAACAACAAACCAATAAGCTCCAGAAAGAGGAGAAACAGTATCTAGACTTGCTACAATATGCTTTCCAAAATGTCTAGTTTTCAACAAAACATTGTAAGACATAAAATTAAAAAGTGCAACCTACACAGAAGAAAAAGAGAAAAAGAAACTTCCTTTGAGGGTACCCAAATGTTGCTCTTAATAGAAAAAGACTTCAGATCTGGAATCCAAGATGGCCGATTAGGAACAGCTCAGGATTGCAGCTCCCAGTGAAAGTGCAGAGGGTGAGTGGAGGCCACATTTTTATTGCCCACAGACTAGGAAATTCCCAGGCGGAGGAGCTCCATGGGTCACCAGCGCAGCTGTTTCGGCAAGCGTGGCCGTGTCGGCTGGCGCTGCTGCTTTACACCGCGCGGCTGCTTTGTCAGCGCCCCGGCGCAGCGGTTCTCCGTACAAAATACACTGCTCCGGGTGCCCTTCTGGCTGGCAATTGGAGACGGGAAGTCGCCCACTCATCTGTTTAAAAAGGGGGCTGAACAGGTAACCAGGACAGTAGATTCCAGGGCAAAAAAAGGTACACTAATCTCAGTGCCACTGTTTAAGCCAGTGCAGTGAGTCGCCACATGGGAAAACACACAGATCCCAGCGCCTCTTCAACAGGCGACTGGAACACCAACTTAAAAAAAAAAAAAAGGCTCTGAGGCAGGGAGCCAGGCAATCAGGCTCAGTTGGTCCCACCCCCACAAAAGAACAGCAATCAGAAACTCTCTGGATTGAGAGATTCACAGCAAGCGCAGCTGAACCCGGGATGGTCCAGCTCTGTGGGGGAGGGGCATCTGCCATTACTGAGGCAATCCACCACTATGGACGCCATTGCTGAGGCAGCTCGCCATTGCCAAGGCAACCCGCCACTACAGAGAGACTCTGCCTTAACAGAGGTGGGCCACCATTGCCGAGGCAGTTCTAACTACACCCATATAAAGAGGACTGCAGGGAAGTTCACTCGGCAGCTGGGCGGAGTCCACAGCAGCTCAGCAAAGCCTCTACAGGCAGACAGTGACTAGGCTGCCTCCTTGCTGGGCAGGGAAGCTCTGAAGGAAAAAAAAGAAGGCAACAGCATAACAGAAACTCATAAATAAAGCCTTAAATCGCTGGGACAGAGCACCTGGGAACAAAAAGCAGTTTATGAGTTCTGCTGCAGCAGACCTAAACGTGTCTGCCCAGCAGCTCCGAATGAACAACAGAGCTCACAGCTCAGCATTTGAGCTCCTATAAAGAACAGACTGTCACGATCGATCCAAGATGGCCGTTTATGAACAGCTCAGGATTGCAGCTCCCAGAGAAAGCACAGAGGGTGAGTGGATGCCGCATTATTATTGCCCACAGACTAGGAAATTCCCAGGTGGAGGAGTTCCACGGGTCGCGAGCGCGGCTGTTTCGGCCAGCGCGGCTGTGCCGGCCGGCACTGCTGCTTTGCCCCGTGTGGCTGCTTTGTTGGTGCCCAAGAGCAGTGGTTCTCC